TTCGGGGTTTAGGGTGGACACTGCACTTGTTGCGCGACCCTTACGTACCGCAAAACCTGGTAATTCTGGGAGTTTCGTTTCATAATGTCATGCAGTTTGTTAGTTTACAGCTTACAGCCCTGGGACAAATGGAAGTTGCAACGGGTGATGAGAGCTATAATATTCCTTAATGAGGCCTCTTTAAGGACACTTGCTGTAAGGAGGAATGACACAGGTCATCAAGTCATGTAGGGTTTTCACCATCCATGGTTTTACTGTACTCATACCCAGGTTGAGGTATGCTTTGCATGCTGTAGCCTGGAAGACCATCTATCCCTTCAAAACTGTTTTTTGTTTTTAGTGTAGTGCAGTATAACCCCAAGGAACTATGAAACATCCCATTTTATCCTAGGTCTAAGGGGATTACAGGACTCTGCATATTTCCTGTCTCTCTCCCGTCTTCGCTCTTTAGAGTAAAAGGCTAATGTAGCTAGTGGTCATGCAGGCAGCCCTCTTGGATTATTGCATCCTGCATTACCCCCCCACGCGCCCTCCCCTAAACCCTGCACCCTAATCCCTACACGTCGAGCCACTTTGTTTTTTGCATTGCTGGGCTGTAAGCGTACAAATGCGCTGGGGCCTGGTGTTTCGGGAGAAGGAATTAGTGTTAATATATGAAGGTATATAGGAGAAAAATGGGGATCAAATGCAAAAACAAATGGCAGGGTACAGGATTTAAGGTTTGGGGCTGTTGGATTTGAGATGTACAATCACAGTTTGGTGTTTAGGGCCCAGCTGGAGAACACACACAGGATGTGATTTTAACCGCTCCCACTCATTTACAAGCAGGTTCATCTTATAGTCCCATGTAGTTCCCCTGTAGACTACAGCCACATGTCACAACATTCCTATGTTGGGATCGTATACGACCCCCCCCCCTCTTACTCCACCTCCCGAAACTAGACCCAGGAGGGTGTAGCATGGGATTCCAGAACCCCAAAAAAATTCTTGGTGGTCAGGCATAGTGGAGCCATTTACCAAAGCCCCTGGCCTTGAAAGCCGATGTCCCCACTTACTGGAGCGAAGGGCTTAGGGCCGATTAGGGTTTGAGGCTTATGGAGAAGGGTTTTCTAGGAATTGTAGTTTCCCGCACTAAAAGGCAGGAAAACCGTGCCATATCTTACAACACATATTATGGGAGGCTCCCAGAAAATACTCCTAGTTTCAAGGTTTGGGGAAACCCAGAATCAAGCGCTACTACCAGTCAAAAAAGGTAGGTCAAGAGCTCCTGGGTTGTACCCCGAAGGCTGTGCCCCTAAAGGTTTCCCCCATACATGAGCCAATGCAATCCGCCAGGGGCCCTTGAAAGGATCCGAAAACCCAGGAGTACAACTCTAGGGGCATAAGCCTGAAACCCTTGGGTAGATGGGGACTTTTAGTATGAGGTCACGAAGGAAGAGGTTCCAAAAGCAACTGTAGCCTAACCCAACCAAGGCAGTCAGTGAGAAGGACCTTCGATCCTTCCATTTTCGGAACGTTTCCATCAAGCATTACGTGGCGTTGCTGCACAATCATGCAGTCCAAAGCATGTTCACACCTCAGGCCGACAGTAGGATTTAGACTGTGCTGGCAGGATGGATGGCTTTTGCAATTTTGCCAAAGGATTCCATGGTTGCACCCCTAGGGTACTACGGTTGTACACCCAAAATCTTTATCCAATATGGCGCCAGCAGATCCCCTTCATGAATCCATTTAATCCTCTCGGGTTCTTTGAGAGCTTCCTTTTACCAGTGGGCACATTCTGAGGGTACAGCCCTGGAACTCCTGAGTTTGGGTAATTACGAGGACTAATGCAGCAAACAAAAAAGAGACTCTTCTGGGTATCCATTCCAACCCAAAACCCTGAGCACCGGGCAGTTCCAGCTTTCCGGCGGAAGCTGTTTAGACACTTCCGTTTCTGACCTGACGATTCAAAGTTGCCATGCGAATCTGACATGTCCATCTATTAGAAGCCCCTAATGTCCCAAACCACTACAACCCTGGACCCTATAGCCCTCTCGCCCTAAACCCTGAAACCCTAAGCCTTGAAACCCTCAAGGACCCTGACCGCCCTGACCCTGAAGCTTGAAGTCATGCAGCGAAGGTAAACGAAGGCTATCAGCAAGGTGCAATGCTCGCCAACAAGGACCTCTCAAGGATTAGGGTTTGGGGGCTAGGGTTCAGGGATTGGGGTTGGGGTCCAGGTTATAAGGTTGCGGGCTTAAGGATCACCATACGCTTGTGTGCATCTATCATTTATGTGTATATCTGTGCAAGAATAATGAAAAACAAAGGGATAAGATATGGAAAATGAAATGGACCCTGGGATTGCATAGTGGTTTAGGGTTTGGGTGATATATCTGGGGCCATGTTTCATCGGGACCCAGACCCAGAAGGGTACCATACTTTGGGCAACTTCTGCGTTGGCTCCCGAAGCCATATAAACTGTAAAGCCCTGGGCCGTAAACCCTTAAACCCTAAACCGCCGTCTAGGTAGTTGGGATGTGTGGCTTGGCCGCTTCCATGGATTCCCATATGGGCGTTACCCAAGGTAAAGTAAGGGGGTTTGGGCTTAGGGTCTAGGGTTTAAGGATTTCCAGGATGTTCCAGGGACCCTAGGGAGTACCTCCCATCAGGCTTCTTTATCAACAGCCTTACACATCACGTCTTGGAGTTTCATCTCGGCTTGGGTCAGGGCCTAGCCCTATACCCCCAACCCTAAAACCTGAAACCCTGAACCCTATCCTAAGGCACTTGGACCTCTGTAGTAAGAGCCCATACCTTAGGCCCCGAGCCCAAGCCTGCAAAATTTACTCGTAGGGCTCAGGGTTTGCTGCCACGCCCAGAGCTGTTTAGGAGGCTTTTGGCTACAAGGGGCAGCGTGAGAGGTGGTTCCTCGGACAAGTCATTTCAGCTTTTATTTCAGCTTCAATTCAGTCACACCTAGCCTACCCTCAGTCAGCCCCAACCCCGAATACATACCTTGAAATAAATTTGGCTTTGATTCTCGACGCCCACAGATGAGCCAAGCGTTCAAGCAAGTCTCGGCCTGTGTCGGGTCGTTCTTTCTTTCGCTCATGAGGAATGGTTCAGGGCCTAGGGCCCTAAGGCCTGACTTCGAAATACTATCCCAATTAGGAAGCAGATATGACATTATCAACATAGCCTCCCAAAATCAAAGCCGAAAGCTGACAATGATTGCCCCTACGTAGCCGCAAATACCCTCCTACCAATTCATTATGGGACGCTCCCAGCATGGCCCTGAAGAATTTCGACACGCAAACCTCAACACATAACCTTTGCCGTGGATGCTTTCATCCTAACCACTACGCCAAAAATCCTGGAAACCCTACTAATGTTGAGTCCTGATTGTGCAGGGGGTTGCAATACGGTAGAGCTTTCAGAAAAAGATTCTGAACTCCCTATTCGATGTGGGGGGTGCCAATACAGTAAAGTCTTGTTGGCCTAATGAGTTTCTGGAAAAGTGAAGGTAACACCTTCACTTCATAATTACCTGATCCCTTCCCTTACTGATTTGAAAAGGGGCTGAAGCATCGAAAAGATCCCTTTTCCTCATTAGTTTGAATAGGAGCCATAGGGATCCTCAGACCCCCCATTCGTTTTGAGGACTTTGTAGTACAGACGCTTCCCTTTTTGGCGGAGGCCACACTAATCAAGCTCCAACAGTGAACCCTAATCCCGAAATCCTTGCAACCCTCAACCTTCAAAACCCTGGAAGCCTGAACTCCCTGCCCAACCTTCAAGGTTCGAGGGCTACGATTGGGTCGTGAGACTCAACCCAGACACGCTGCTTACGCAGGACGAGTGGATTCTCAAGGCAAGATTTGTATATCAGCGTTTACGGCTTAGGGTTTAGGGTTTAAGAGTTAGAGATTTCCCTCAATAATGGAAGTTTGAATTGAACGCTGAGCGAGCGGGCTCCGCTCCTTGCAGCCGGTAGCCTCTGCTGAGCCCCGGTTAGACTTTGTCAATAATGGAAAAGAAAATGGACACTGCAACGGAAATCCCAAGGGGGGTTGCCAAAATATGGTATGTAGTGTAGGCATAATGTCGTAATAGTTGGAAACGAAGATGGAAGATGAAATGGAAATTGGGTTATCAAAAGTACCCTCAGTATGTTAGCGCTTAGTTTAAGGATTCAGAATTCTGGACTTAGGATTCAGATTTGTTTTGGGTAGCTTCTCCTCACCTCACAGTGGAGATAGCACAAACGAAGCCTTGATGTAGTGAGCATGGCTTTCCTGACAATACTGCGCAGCCAGTTGGAGCAGGGAAATGCAGGGGTATTAGGGCTTCTGGCATGCATATGGTACTTTCCATAAAAAGGGTGACCCCAATACGGACCCCAGCATGCTCCTTAGATTAGGGCCCGCAGTAAGGTACCATCAGGAGACTATAGGGTCACACTTAACCAGACGGGCACATTTGTCCTTTCATGCCTCACTATGGGCACTTCACTGCTTTGAACGTGTCTACATGTGCTGGCAGGGGCAGGACTGTAAATGCTTGCGCCTGACAAGTCCTCAATACGGCTGTCTGTCATAGATGGCAAGTACACACGAGTGAAATTGACGATTCGTACCCCCTACGTTTCGTCACGCCTTTGCTGTTGGGTTTTTTGCAGCAGGGCGGCTCATTAGCTCCGGGTAGGCCCCACCGGTTCAAGGGTATGAGGTGTTTTGATTTACATTTCTAGTTGCCCCATTCGTCCAGTGGTGCGCCTCATTAATCCAAGGATGTGAGGAAGTTCTGATTTACTTTTAGCATCGCCTCAATGGTCCAAGCTACACCCCATGAGTCCTATCTACGCGCCATCAATCCAAGCTACGCCCTAGTTGTACAAGACATTGACAGGGCTCTTAGAGGTTTGAAGCTTTGGGTCTCACGTTACAAGTTGAGGCCTGCGGACTCACAGCAAGCTCCGCACTTCAATTTCACGCTGACCCAGCAACCCCGCCACTCTGTGCTCAAGGGGAATGCCCTTGGGGGACTCTTAAAAATGCTTGGAAACAGGCGGGGTCCAAAACCCAAGAAAGCTATCAAACATGGCTTTGAACATGGTTCTCTGTGCAGGCTTCCCATGTTTAAGCCCACAAGTGCAATTATCTGCAAATCAGCAGCCACATTTAATGTATTTAACAAGCTAAAGTGGTGCAACATCCTAGCTCAGGAGCCACAATAGTGCTGGAATATGGGCAAGACATACCCAAAAACCTTGCAACGTGCACAGTTTATAGGATTTGGCCTGGGCAATGCACGCCAAACCTGTCTCATGCTTGTCATGCGGTCCAGGTCCTACCACACTGGTATTTACAACCACAAACACTACTTAGAGTCCCTTGACTACTGTAATCCTTGGACTTAAGTTAAAACGGCTAAGTGTAGTGTGAGCTTGAAGAAGGACCCCAATTTTGCAGCTGGTCTTACTGTATGCGTCTAGGAATGACAGTCGTGTACCATTACAATGTCAACGGATGCGAATGGCTCGCAGCTGCAAAGGAGTTGATGCCCTTACCCTTCCAGCCAGATGCCTTCGATGGTGGCTATGAATTGCTTCATGCAAATGAGTCTATAGCAGCTATTCGAGAGCTGTTGGGGTTCGAAAGTGCGACTGCTCGGAAAGAGGTTTAGCTAAGTGAGTTGATGTGGCAAGCTTCCCCCCGTGCTTAGAGCTTGTGCAGCTGCAGAGCCCTTCTGAACCTCATCCCCAAGACACGGAGGCCATGCAGAACAAGTCGCTAGATGCGATTTTTGTCCGCTGTGCCGTGGGGTAGTACTCTCAGTACCGGGGTGGGACCACGCGCCCTTGGCCCTCACTCACCCCGCTTGTCGTAGAAATTACATGAATAGGGAATCCTTCATGCTACCTTTTTGGTTTTTAAGCTTGGGGTGCTGAGCGCACTCCACCCCGTTTAAGAGGCGAGAGGATTTGGGGGTTCAAGGGTTTTGCGCCTGCAGCTCTGGAGCAGGTTAGGGTGCCAAACATGACAAAAAGGGCGCTCATCCTGTTTCGGCTTGGGCCGTAGGTGGTTTAGGTTCCTTCCATTGAGCATTGATAACCTCGACAAAGTCTCTGTGGCTTATGTGCTGAAGAACCCTCATTTGTTTGTTTATTCAGTATGAAAAAACCTGATTCCAACGCCATGTAGAGATCCGTACGTCCTTGTCTGAAAGCAGGGGGTCCCCCTTATACCTTGGCAGTTTAGGTGATCAATTTATTTGTGCGACCCCCCCTCCCCCGTGTTATGCCCGCTTCATGAAGCTGTGCTTGAAGACCTCCTTACACAAAGAGCCCATAGTGTTCCGGGACCATTTTGGACCCCTTGGGAACTTTATTGCAATGACCGCGAGAAACTACCAATTCTTCAAATGCTTGCTAGTTTTCAGATAGGCCCAGGAAATCCACTCCAGTCAAGCCCAGTCGTAGGGCAAATACATACGGGATTGCAGAACAGGAATGGGGCATTGGGGCAAGGTATGGTTAGACAAGGACGACAAAGGCAGAATATCGGCAACAATGCGAGAACGTGCTTTTCTATGCGCCTTGACAATGTGCCTTCATCCCTAACGAAAATGAAGGGCTTGCTGACCCCAACCCCTAGAATGAGGACTCCACATATAATTACTCTATATACGATAATAAGGAACGTAACTAGGGGGATGGGGTGACCAGTATCCCCTTAATACCAATGTTGCAGAAGTCACATGCTCACGGTGCGGTCTGGTACGGGCTTAACGAGCCTTCACCCCCATGTCGCACAGATGTTGTTTTTCAAAGAGCTTGAAACCTTCACTCAATCGCTTACCCCTAAAAGTAAACTCCCTGAAGACCTCCTTTAAAGGGGCCAAGACGACTAAAACGAATCCCCCTAATAGCGGAGGAGCATAATGAGGAATCCAAAGGAATTTGGGATCCAAATGGTTTCCTGGGTCTCATTGTTTTTATATCGTCTTCATAAAAGGAAGTTATGGAAAATACGGATGCGATTTTAATTGATTTATTCCCCATATTCACCGTGGGGTCCTAGTTGTTAGATGACGCTGTCGCCCGCCGTCGGTGCGGATTCTCTTCCGGCGCGCAAACATTTTGGACGCGCTCATTTTCGCTCAAAAATCGCGCTCTCGTTCAAGACATCTTCAAAAAATCGTCGGAAAAATCGCGTTCGAAGAAAAAATGGTTTTTCACTCGGAGCATCCTCACTTTTCCGATCTTTGACATATCTTCGCATGTTCGAAAATCGCGCTCCCGCGCGAGACATCCTCGAAAAAATCGTCGCCTCGTTGACTTTCATGGTGATAAAATGGCGCTCCTGTGCGAGACATTCGGACTTTTTTGACGATCCGTCGTGTTATAATCTTTGAAATTCGCGCTCCCGCGCGAGACATCCTCGAAAATCATCGTCTTCTGAAGTTATGATGACGTTTTCCTTTCAAATTAGTCTTCCTAAGGGATCCGTCGCCGAATTGGCCGCGGCTTGGATTTCGAAAGTCGCGCTCTCGCGCAAGACATCCTCAAAATCGTCGATTTGGACGCTCGTAAAGTTGCGCTCCCGCGCGAAACATTCGGTTTTTTTGAGGATTCGTCGCCTCGGAATCTTCCAAAATCGCGCTCCCGCGCGAGACATCCTCGAAACGCATCGTCATCTTCTGATGTAGTTTATGTCTATGATTACTCTATGGAGGCTCGTTTTTCTTTTAAATTAGTCTTCCTAAGAGACCAGTCGCCGAACTGGCCGCGGCTTGAATTTCGAAAATCGCGCTCCCACGCGAGACATCTTCAACATCGTTGACTTGGACGATCGTAAAATTGCGCTCCCGCACGAGACCTTCGGATTTTTTGACGATTCTTCCAGTACAAGTGTTTTGACATTGCGCTCTCGCACGAGACATCCTCATAATCGTTGATTTCAACCATCGTATATATGGATGCGTTCCCGCGCGAGACATTAAAGAAAGTCGTCGTTTACTGACGTTCTCGATACTCGTGGGGTGGCTTGTTTGCCTTTTCAACAAGTCGTCGTGACTTGCGGTCATAAGATGTTGCCGTCTGCATGCATTCGAACACCAACATCGTCTTTGCCGACTTCTCCATTGGCTTGGTGGACGTCCCGCTGGCTGTTTTCGAGATCCGAGTCCAGTGTTCAGTTGTTTCAGTGCGGCTTGAAGAAATGACTTTCGGTGCACCAGTTTGCATCTTGAGGTCGGGCTCATGCTCATCGTCATGGACGAGATCGTGGATCTTGGCAGGGTCTTCCCGTCGCGGTTCAGTGGGGATGTGCAGCATCGTTTCGTTGTTGCGTCCTGTGATGTCTGCAGTTCTCGGCTCGAGCAAAGTTACGGGATTTGTGTTCCCCGTCAGAATAGGCGAGCGATCCGTGCTGTGGGTGGCTCCGAGCCTGACGCGGGCGTTGGCGGATATGGATCTGGCAAGCAGCGATTGCGGGTATTAGCTGGAGCGGGTGCAGGAAACTTTCGCGCAGGTTCGTGGGCCTCTCAGGAGATTTGACATGGGGGAGTGATGGTGCAACACCTGCACTGGGACGATATATGTTTGCAATCAAACCCGCACCTGGAAATTCCTCTCATTGGAGATCTTCGCGCGTGCTCTGGATATGACAAGCTTCCGCAGGTGGCTTCAACCCGTCATAAGACAGGTTCACCGAACCCGGCATCGTGCAAGTAAGTCGGGCTGTGCTCTGATGTACGAGAAGCTGTGGATCGATGACCTTCCGCATCCCGAGGACTGGACTACATCGGTAGAGCTCGATGCCATATTTGGGAGATTGCCGAATCCCGAGCTTGCTCGGCAAGCTGTGCCAGTGTCGACGGCCGCGCTGAGGACGGGCAACCCGGGATGAGAAGCTTGTCCTCAGGTGCACGTTCATCAACCTTCCGTGCAAGAGCTGGCTCTCGATTCTGCCCGCGTCGGGAACACTGTGGGAAAGCTGAAGGAATGCTTGCGCGAGGCACACGGCTTTCCTGTGTATTTGCAAAGAATTCTCAGCGAGCACCGTCCGATGGTGTCCTGCTTGCGGACTTGGAACCTCGCAGCCGCAAGAATCTGCTGCTGCTGATGACCTCGATCGACCAGCAAGATTCGATTATCATCCTGGATCTGGTACGAGACGACCTTCGCAGAAGCAGTTGCGTTGGGTCAGATTAGCAAGGTCCGCTGTGTGTTGCAAGCCATATGGATGCCAACGAAACAGTGCGGCATGTTTCGGGCACTATAGTGTGCTGACGGCATGTCTGCATAGTCAGACAGTCAGACAGAAGCCGCAATGTTGCTCATTGAATTTCGCGCCGCAATCGATTCAGTCGGTCGTGATGACAAGACGGCATTGATGGCGGCGCGTCGCAGGGGTGATGCTGAGTTTCTAGACCTGTTGCTTCGAAATGGTGCTTCTGTTAAGTGCTCCACGCGGGACGGTGTGTCGCCGTTAATGATAGCATCCGAACAAGGTCACTCGGGAATTGCGCGCTTGCTGCTTCAATCCCGGGCTGACACATGGTCGTGGAACGCAGTGGGTATGACGGCACTCATACTCATGCTGGCGTGTCTCGGTGGTCATGCAGAGGTCATTCGTCAACTGCCCAATGCCCGGGTGGATGTTGATGCCTGGGACAACGGAGGCAGCGGAGGCACCACTTCGTTGATGTTCGCGGCCAACCGAGGACGCCTGTCCGGAAAGGCTGACTGCCCAGGCGTGTACGGCAATGATCGACTCGGCTCGAACTTGGCCACACGGAGTGTGCAAGTCTGCTGCTTGGTAGCTCTGCCCGGATCGATGACAGGGACAATTACGACATGACCACGATCATGTTTGCGACCGCGAACAATGACTCTGAAAGGGTGCGTTTGCTGCTTTCACGCGGACCAGAAGTAGACTGTTGCAGTTGCAACCGTGGGTTGCCGGACATCTCTGATTTCTGCTTGCGTCCTCGGTCACACGGAAGTCGCTGGCTTGCTGCTCCGAGCCAACGCTGTTGCTAAATCGAAGTGATGTGAATGGCATGACTCCGCTGCATTTCGCGGCTTCCGTTGGCCGTACCGAAGCTGCGGCTCTGCTACTCGCGGCCGGTGCCGACAAATACCTAGTCGATGATGAGGGCGGCGCGGCACGGACACTCGCTTTGCTGGGCGGCCACACGGAGCTCGCCCGCACGCTTCTCTAGTATTGGAAATACTGGAAGGTGTCTTTGCGAGCGTGCGTTTCACCATGAGTTTGGGAGCATGCCGAATCCTCATGGTAATGTATGTAGCTTCACCCTGCGACAGGAGCGTACGAGCAGCACCTGTGTAGGCTGGAATCACAAGCTGACCACTTGCAGCACGCTGTGTAGCACGCGCGATCCCGTATGGAAATGCGTGTAAAAAAGGAAGCGTGTTACTCTTGTTGCGAGATCTTTGCATCGAGCCTGACACTGCAGTCTTGCAACCTTCACATGACAGGCGCGAGAGAAGCTCGACTACCACGCCGAGAACGGCACTATGTTGGTGATATAAATATGAGCGTGTCCGTGTACGTCTCCGCGTTCGCGCAACATGCTCTCGGCTTCGTTGAAGACTTTCGTTTCGTCTTCCCATTTTCTATTTACACAAGTCTGCTTAAATCGGCGGGCGACGGTATCCTCATATTATCTCACTTAGATTCGGGTTAAGCGTAACATGTGGGGCTCTCCGGTCCATTACTTATGATTATCTTGTGTTAATCCGATCTTACTAAGGTTTCCATCGATTTGAATTACATTTCAATATTTCAATGGATTCTATTCAGAGTTTCGTTGGATTTTGATTCGAATTCACGTGACTTTATACTGATCTTGCCTAGTTTTCCTTGATGATGGGTAATTGGGTTCTAATTTTGCAGTCAACTTCCAATTGATGTTAATTGGATGCAATTACGCTCAAATGAATGCCAATGAGATTCTCACTAGAATTTGTTTTATTCGATTTGCTTTCCCCTCATCCCTCCTGATAGTAAAAACTTCGGCTGTGTTTTAATTAGGGGCGGAGACGTTTATTTTCTTATTGTTTGGGAGTGGGATTACCTTTCCCTGGAACTAGTGAATCCTGCGACCCAAATGCCACATGCTCCCCTGATACATCATGGAATAGAGTAGCATAAGTTCACTGGGCGGGAGCGGGTTCTTTCTTACCCTCTATACCCCTCTCAGCCCTTAATATCCTACACGCCCAAAATGGGGGTTGCACTGAGGCTGCGCGTCCACACGGATTTCTTCGCAGTTCGTCCATCTGAAATCGACCCAGCTGCCATGGAGAAGTGCACGGATGTGCATAGTCGCTCGGCCACATCCTAGTGTTTTTAGGCCTTAGGGTTTAAGGGTTCAAAATCTTTTGGGGTTAGGGTTTTGTTTTGACAGCTTACAGTCCGGGAGTTGGGTTCTTAAAGGAGCTTCATAGAATTATTACACAGGGATATGTAGGGCTCATATTGGGCATGTGGGGCTTCATGTTGCTGATGGAAGAAGAGGGTCGACCCCTGGGAAAGATTGGGTTTTTTTAGGGGACTATCAAGCAAAGAGGGCCATGGTAAGTTTCAGCCTTTTGGGTTTTGATTTCAATTTGGGGGTTCGGTCACGATACTAAGCCTGCGAAATTCTGTGAATTACAATGCTTAAGGTGCCCTCCATCAGTTGTTCCCTGGAACCACAGGCCACCAAGTTAGGACACGATGACTAGCATCTTGCAATTATGGCAGCTGTGGAGTCCCTCACGCCGGGTTGGGGAAACCAAAGCCATGTTATTTTTCATGAGACCCCGTACATGAACTTTTTTAAAAGGGCACCAAAGTCCAGCCATCCCTCCTCCAACTAAAAGGGAACCTTCAAAACGCCCAATGAAGATGATTGTCCGTACGGAGGGGCTATTTGGGGTTCCATATCGGGGGAGGGTAGGGTGTTGTCAGGAGTGTGGGGATGTAAGATTCGGGGGTGTCGGGATTTGGAGTGTGGGGCTTAGGTTTTCGGGGCAGGGTAGTGAGTTTAGAGCTGAATGTTCAGTGCATGGGGTTTGGGATGTACTCTAAGGCGTAAGTAGGAGTTTAGGGTGTGGCGTGGAAAATAGCAAGTTTTCTGGGGTTAGAGATTTTCGGTGTAGAAATTTGGGATGTAGGGGTCCAAGTAGGTGGGGTTTGGGGTGTAGGGCCCAGGTTTAAGGTTTAGAGTCTTGGGTACAGGGAGGGTTTGGGGTGCAGGGTTTAGGGGTTCAGGGGGGTTAGGGTGTGGGGTTTGAGGGGTCCAGGGTCTAGCGCTACTTGGGGATCCATTAGACACCCTAGAGCATGACGTCCTGAGTAATCTGAGTATTCCATGTTGGTATTGCCTTGGGATTTTTTGATGATTTGGCCAGGGGTCGGTTTGTCTACTGTAGCCCATATACGTTTTTGGCTCGCATCTATGAATGTAAACTTAGGGGCAAATGGGGTACAAAATAACCCCCAATGTGAGACCTCAAGCACTAAATTCTATTACTAAGCCCTGTAGCCCAAACCCCTAAATTTACTTAAATCCTAGACCCCCGACCCCCTAAACCGCCAAATCCCTGAACCCTAGACCCTAAATCAATTCTGTCTGCAGGGCAGGCTGAAGATGCCTTTACCTGCGCAGTCCAGAACCTGGGCTCTGGATCGGATTTTATTGCACAGACCCCTTTGAAGGCTTATGGCTTCGGGCCCCGAGCGGTAACCCCTAAACCTATTTTCGGAGGTTCCATGTTTGGATCTTGCGTTTGGGGTTCAGGGCTTGGGGTTTTGGTCTAGGAATTTGTGTTCACTGAGCTCTTCATATTCTGGGTTCCGTACTTTAGCCCAGGGAGTGCACAAAACGTAGGAAAGAGGTTTTCTCTGCGACCTTAAAACGTGAACCTGGCTATCATGGGAGTATCTTTATTTGGACACCCCAGCAGCGTGATAACTCCAAATAATCTCAAATTGCTCACTTCTCCTCAGCAAGGAATGAAGGAATGGCGCCGTACAGCAGTCCCTTTATAACCCCCAATCATAGTAGCTTCTATGTTGTTTCCCAGCTTCTGTTCCCTGCTAACCAGTGCTAAGATTAAGGGGCGTTTCCCCAAGGAGCGTAGAAGGGAGGTCCTCAAGTTAAGGCGGGGGGGCCGGTGAATAAACATTTCCGTTAAGGCAAGGCCGCTATCTTGGTTTGCATTTGCAATCTTACAGCAGCCCTTATAGAGTACGTTTTAAGATAACATTCTCCATGTGGTTGTAGTGTAGTATAAGAAGGGCATAGGGCTCGAGAAAACCGTCAGCGGATTGCTTTAGCCCCAGCACTCTGTGCGCTGTAGCCATTACCAAGATCTACTCTCCCAGCTGGCACCGCAAGCTTCGCAAGAGGCGCTCGATTGCCAGGTCTAGAGTACGCAAAGGGATACACCTTGAGAAATCCTTGGCACTGTTTGTACCTCAGCACGGTACGCCTCCTCACTGGCAGAACGTGTTCTTTTCTGGATTCTTTCATCGCTACAGAATGTCACGGAAAGGATGGGGCAAGCCTTGGAGAAAAGGAAATGGTGCAGATGGTTATGCTTCTGAGCCCTCGTACTATGCCTCAAATTCTGGCAGTGGAAAGGGCAGCTGGACGCAGGATTGGAGTGGCTACAACAAGAGAGAACAAGAAGGAGGATCATCAATTTCCTACGTACAACCAGCAGCAACAGGCAAACATCGTGGTGGTTGCAGAACACAAGCAGCAGCAACAGTCTACAACTGCGGAAGAGGATATTATCAAGGAGATTCAGCGTGCGGCGCGCAAAGCGGAACAGAAGGTTGCCAGGCTTCAGTCGGACCTTCAAAAAAGGGCAAGTGCAGTGGCGGAGCTACGAGCAGGCACTGAAGAAAGCCTACGGTGCGGAGAAGGTAAAGTTCCAGAACGATCAGAACAAGTTGCGCCAAGACCTGACGGAGGCTTTGGCGGCTCAAGCATCAACTCGTGGTGCATTGAGGGCAGCAGCAGTTGGTCAGTTACAGGAGGAGACTCAGGAGGCCGCATCACAGGATGTAGAGATGGACGAGGGCTGGATGGCCCTCATGAAGGATACCTCATTCGTGGAGGACCAGGGCCGGAACAGAGAGTTCGATGGATGGCTCCAGGAAGAGTTGCAGAGGATTGGAAGTCCATCGACTGCTGCAGCTGCCAAATCCAGAGCGGCCATGAAGGGGGAGTCACAGTCGGCCAATGGAGATGCAGTGATCACACCGAGGCGCCTTACACGTTCGGGACTTCCTTCACCATCCAAAGGAGTCATGGAGAGTGGAGCAAGACATGCGGAAAAGGGTCCCAGGGCGTTGTATCCCTTTGGCTGTCACCTTGGAGCTTCAATGAACGCAAGCCACCTCATCCCCACCAAGGAGATTCAGTACAGAGGGGAACTGCCTTCGCGTATAGATCCGTCTATGGCTTCTCTTTCTGGGGAGATTGGGAGGTTCCCGGACTCCGGGCCGGCTATGGCCCTACCTTCAGCAAAGCTTCGGAAGACCCCACGTACTGGCATCAACGAGCTTACGAAGCCCAAGGGCCCTGCAGCCGTTCGGACAAGCTCATGGCAGCCCGTGCTACGGCGGAAAAGGAGATCCATGCAGTCGGAGCGCCGGTCACAGCGGCCATTGTCCTCATCGACGACGACCACGATCACTTGGTCACTTGGGTGTTCCATTCCCTTCAGGTTCAAGCTTAGACCTACTCGATGGATAACAGGCCCTAAGTTGGATTGCTGCCCAACTGAGAATGCACAGCATGATCTTGAGGCTTGGAGCCTTGAGCAGCTTTGCGATGGTGATTTTGACTGGAAAGTGCTTGGGTTCTGCACTTTTCATGGGTGTTGTAAAGGAAGTACAGTGACAGTTGGTTCGCGGCGACGGGGTGGCAGTGTGTCTGTTATGATACATTGTCATGTGCCGGCGGAGCCACACCATCAAGTGAGGCGACGGGGTGGCAGTGTACTCATTGTAGTGCATTGTCATGTGCCGACGGAGCCCACTCCTTTTATTGCAGGTTCGACTTTCCATGGCAACCCTGTCCTTGTCGCAAGTACTGGAACGAGCTGCTATATTTTTGAAGCCTGCCAAGCCTTTTACTCCTCTGATGGACGGGGTCGTGAAGTTCCTGTCATTGCTGGAGTTCATCACTGCCCAAGCAACATGGACAGTTCTTTATCTGAGTTTTGGCGCTCAAATCCTTGCAGATGCACTGAGCTCGGGGACGATGATGAGGTACGCTGCCTTTGTGTCTGTGAATGCTCATTGTAAGAATGCTGCCTTTTTGCAGGGATCAGCGCATGCGATGATTCGCACCCGTATGATAGGGCCATTGGGGGCCCTATGTCAATGATGCAGTTGGGTTTTCAGCTGTTCAAGCTCCTGTTGCCATGTGCGAGAGGAGTCGGAGCAAGAACGTCCCTTCTTCCTGGAGTCTTTCGGTTCTTTTGTTGTTCTTCCCTCCAGCCCGTGTATAGACTGGCAAACGGATGCTGAGCCTTTGTGGCAGGCTGGGACTCTTGCGTCCCTGCAACACCAAACTTTGCTGCCTGCCATGATTTGCCTCACTGATATGCCCAGATTGGACCTGAACGACTCTGGGATTGTGGATCTTTGGTGTTTTGATGACACAAGTGACGGTTGGATAGTTGACAATTCCGCCGCGCCAGCGTATCGGCTACTCCATGCCATTTTGGATTTCAGGCTGTGGGCTGAGCACCTACTGCCACGACTGCTGCTCCTTGGCCAAGACCTTCTTCTCTTGGCTGGAGAGCTTCTCGGACAGTTCTTTTGCGCACTGGCCCTTCTTGCAGGAGGATACTGCATTAAGCTGCTGTTCTATGCGATCAAGCTGCGAGGTGGCCATTACAATACAGACCCTATCTTGAGAATGGTGAGAGACAGTGTGGCTTTCATTCCTCTGGACCTTGGAGTCCATCTCCAGGACTTTTCGCCTAAGCCAAAGGCATGTGGAACTGGCATGCGGCAAGGGCGGAAGAAGCTGCCTACGATTTGGTTGTTCAACTGACCTTTGGCTTTTGATCTGCATCTGTTGCTGGCTTTCTCAGGGAGCGTGTGCCGCAGGAGAACCAGTGCACAGCGATCTTCGGCAATCGTTCAGGCTCGTGCCACACAGAGCCATCGTGCCAGGCCTGAACCCGATGCCAATCATCCTCAACAGGCGCGCGGCAAGGAACATCATATCTGAGTCCTCCAGTGAGGAGTCGAGCCAGGAAGATAGTCCTTCCTCGCTCGCAAGTGTATGCTCCATTTGGATTCGTTCCGGAATACCATTCGGTTGGCACCACAGTACAAACAGCGCTCGAGCTCATAGATGTGGATACCATGGTATCAGTCTGCTCAAGCCGTGGCAGATACATGCCCCTTAGAGGGGCGCCTGTCGAAGTGGCTGTCTTAGCTCTTTGGGTCCCACGCTGGATTGAGGAAACCAACATGAGGATCACACTCATAGATGCCACTCACGTTGGGTTTGACTCCTTGGCACGGTGCTTTCAAGAACCGGTGATAAACTATTGGCTTCTTTCTGAGATGTTTGAGCATGTTTGGGAGTCGCATTGGATGGTTTCCATTCCAGCTCGATGTATTGGACCGCTGAATGCCTCCCACAAGATTTCACTGCAGAATGGAGATGTGATTTACATTGCACCAGGCCCATTGACTCCGTTTTGTCACTATTTCCAGTCTCAGGCTTTTGGGTTCTATCAGGCGTGGGGAGCCGATGTTGCGGCAGATGGAGTGCCGGAAGACCTCCCTGGAGGACCTGAATATGCCCAACTCGTGCATGATGGGAAGTCCTGCTTGATTCACACTGGGCGCCATGCTTCGGACTCAACAAGTCTGGAAATAGCGGAGAGGCTTATTTCCCCGCCCTTGCCTGATGCAACGCTCATTCGGCCTGCAGATGAGTTCTACCCGCTTGTACATCGTGGGTTGGCAGATGGACACCTTGTTTCTCTTGCGCCGGAAGCTCGGGAAGAGGGGCAGATTGCAGTCTTCTTGGATCTTCGCAACATTACGCAAGAAAGCTCAGTTCGCATCTTGGGGGCGGTTCTTGGAATTGCTATCCTTGCCCTAGACGGCTACTGCATGGTGCTGCGTGGAGGGCAAAGATTTTCGGACCATCTCGAACTGTACCATGGTTGCGTTCTTCGAGCCTGCGTTGTGTCGGTGGAGGAAGTATTTTCCGATGACTCATCCAGAGCTTCCTCAGACCTGGACACTGCAGATGCAGGGGAAGCACATGAGGAGCATGATTCCCATGATAACCACCTTCCTGATGCTGCACCTCCTGGTTCAGCAGAGCGGCAGGGTAGAGTATGGCCAGCAAAGTGCTGGCGAATTCTTCGAGGATGAGGGCAATCATTGTCTGATTTGTGCAGCGCGCAAGTCGATGCCTTGGCTGGTATGTGGAACTCATCCTTTCATGTTACAAGTGCCTGTGCGCGAGGCAGGCAGGGGGACACCTCTGCAGATAAGGCAAGACGAGACTCTGTTCACGGTGCGTCGGACAGGACATCCTATGGTAGAACTGCTGTAAGACCCGGAAAATGGGGAGCTGCAACTTTGGGCAACAGACTGTCTGTATTTGGTGCTGTCTTGT